ACCGTATTTGTTCTTTTTTGTATAGTACTTTATTGTATTGTATATAGTATTTTATTCTTGTTGTATTGTATGTTTTTCTATTTTATCTTATCCTATTCTCTTACCTTTATTCTTTTTCTATTCTCTTATCTTGTCTTGAGGTGAGAGAGCCAGTTAGCTTCTGTAGTTTCAATGTTCGGCCACTAGATGGCACCCTGACATCATTTTTTGATCACCACAACAATCTGAAGCGAAAAAGAAAAAAAACATCATCTTCATTCTAACTGGAGTCTCACGTGTTGAAAATAAAAGTGGACAAAGGCTCAGAAATCAGCTTTAAACGTCCGTTTGCTCTTAAAGTGAAAGAAAAGAAAGCAGCAACCATCTACCTCATGATATTAAAGATTTTCTGGTGATTGATTTCTGGTTTCAGGATAAAAATCGTGTTCGTTTTGTGTTGAAAGCAAATAGACATATTGTGACTGCCCAGGCATTTATTTAAAGTGCTGCCTTTAGTCACCACGTTTCTGTCCTCAAATCTTTAGCAGGTTAAAATTATAAACAATTTTGGTGATTTTCAGTCACTTTATAATCTGACTGAGCCTCGCTCAGACCTTTTAAACTCATAAGAGTCACATGCACTTAGTGCAGGCTTCTTATTTTCCCCCTTTTTTACATCTGACTGATGCATTTAGAAACAGCAGAGAACACCAGCCTCTTTGAAGAACACTGAAGTGGACATTAATGAAGATTATTTCTCTGTAAATTCTTCAAATCATGAAATCAGAAGATGGCTCTTAAAATCCAGTGCAAATTAATTAGATATTCCTTTTAATTAAGGAAAATAAGCAATAAAATTATTTTTAAAGAATTTGTGTATTTCAATATTTTTGCTTCATTTGAGCAAAGACTACATGAAATCAGAGGATGATTCCTAATACAGAAAAGATATTCCGTTTTCAGAAGAAGGAAAAATCAGGAATAAATGTGGTTTAAATAACATTACATTTATCACATTTATTTAACTGAATTTGAACAAATAAGTTTTGTTTACATTTGTTAAAGACCCAGATCTTTTTTCCCCTTGTCCTCACTGTTTGTTGCCTTCAGACTCTCTAGGTTGTCATTTTTACTGAGGTTATAGTTCAGAATTAAACCAACATCTCTGTAAACTTTGGTATCAGTCTTAAATTTTTGATGGTGCTTTTGATCGAGGTTATAACATAACTGGGGGCTCGTCCGGGTTGTTTTGGACTCTCCTGGTGAGAAGTTTATTTGAGGTTCATTTGATCTCCACTGAAGCAGTTGTTTGTGTTTTTTGTGTTGTTGTTTTAGTTTATTGCGTTTGGCTATCTTGGGTGGAGGTAAACTTCAGAGTTTCACAATAAACTACAGCTCACAAGTTCCGTTTTTAAGCCTGGTACACCACTGAGGGCTGGGTAAGTGAAGTTAGTTTAATTGTTTTTAGGTATCTTAGGTTGAGATTTGCTCAAAGTTAAACCACTGATACTGAATTTTGTTGGAAATTCTGAGAGTGGTTTGAGATCATTTGATAGTTATGGTCTTGTGGTTTCATCAGGGAGACGTTCAGCCGAACTAAAGTGGGCTTTAGTTACAGCTTTGTAGTGAGGTGAGTGTTTTTGTACCACAATCTAGTGTTTAGGAGAGGTTGGCGACTCCTGATGCTGCTCCTGGTCCACTTGCTGCCTGGGTGATGGCAGTAACTGTGCTTTGTGTGCGCTGAGTCACACTTGTGAAGATCATTGAATGGGCATGGTTCCACATTTTGTGGTTGGCCACTAGGACATTTGCGTCACTGAATTTTGTTGATATGGTGACTTGTTGCGGTACAGGACAATGGGTGACCACTGTTACTATTGTATGAGCCTCATGTATGTTTAGTGAAGTTTGAGACTCTTGGTTTTGCTGTGTGCCCCTCAGACATGCTCAAGCATGACCTGCTTCGGAGTCTTAGGCTTCTTTCCAGGGTTACAACATGTTGTCCCTGTTGCTCTTTCAGGTGCAGAAGAACCGTATGACTCAAGAGTGGCTTTTCCGTCATTTCTTTAGGACCCATTTCTTTATGCTCCTCTCCAACACCTACTTTACACCTGACAAAGTGTGGATCTCGTCATGTGGTCTTTTATCTTTTGCTAAGGCAGTTAAATCCTTCAAAATCAAACCAACGTTTCTTCACCTTATGTTGGGGCGTTTAAGCTGGGACGTAACACTTCTTCTGAAAATAAATAAAAGCAGGTTTAAAAGTCTCTGCTTTTAACATTTTTCGTCTTAAATGACCAAAATAAATCCAAGTTAAAGCTTAAAGTGAGGGTTTTTTTTGTCTTTGAAGTCACAAAGACTTGTTACAATCGTAAAACATGTTTAGATGTGTTACGATTTCAACATGTTTAGCACCGCATGAATGAAGGAATTTAGGTAAAATACGATCGTGATGAGATTTTTTACCTTTAAAGTAAACGTGTGACACCTGACAGGTGAAATCCAGCTGTCAGACCTGTTTCCTGTCGGCTCGCTGTAACAACTCAAAATCGTGGCTCGGTCTAAAAGCTGGGTACTTTGACAGCAGCGTGTCTCTAGTTTGCGTTTTGTAAAAGTGAAAGTACTTTTTGCCACCGTGGGATTGATCCTTGTTCCCTTCTTTGTGGTGTTTTTGGTTGAAGATTCATCTTAATTTAAAACTCTTTTACCTTAACTCTTAAATAACCAACAAAATGAACTTGTTGTGATGTGCAATGAGGTGAAGACAATAGCTGACAGAAGAGTTTGGATCTCTGCTCTTATCACACGCCGACTAAAGCTGCACAACAACAATGAAGGCCGAACTCGTCCAACCTGAAACTCTCCTCCTCCTCCTCCTCCTCCTCCTCATCATCATCATCATTAGTCACTCTGCTCCCTGACCGCTTTTGTTTTCTTTGGGGTTTATTTAACATTTGTCTTGTTGTTTCTGCTCATTTCGTGCAGCTCAGGTTGCAGATTCTGCTCCACCAGGCTTCATAAACACATCAGGAAACTTTTCAGATTATGTTAAGAAGCTTCCTCATTCAGGCTGCATACATCAAACATCGCCAAAAAAACAGAAAACCCTCAGTTTATCCTGTCGTATGCACTCTTATCATTATAAATGGTTAATAACATGTATCTGACAGGTTAATTTGACAGCTCAAAGCCACAAAACATTTAAATCTGGGTTAAGAAGGTGAAAAGTAACAAAAACCTTGATATTATCCACAGATTTGAATTAAATGAATTACTTAATTTAAGTCATTTTAAATGTAAAGAAAAAAGTTGTATAATAGAAAAAAAAAGAATCCCTGTTTCAATAGCTCTGTCATATGTCATGCAGATTTTTTTAAAGCAATCAGAAACATCTCTGAGTCACTTACATGGTTAGATTAGATAGAAAGATAAGATCTAGGCAATGTTTTGGGTTAAATCTGAGCAAAAGTCATCCTTTTCTTTTTTGTTTTTCTTTGTGCTTTGTCATCATTTCTTTTTTTCCTCGTGTCTTGTCTTTAAATTAAGTTAAACACAAGATAAGAACAGAAATTTTAAAGAGCATCAAACAGCCTGAGCTATAAGAGAGAGAGGTGAAATAAATCAGAGCTGTGACTGACAGGCGTCCTCGCACATGCATCGGTTTTTAATCACTTCCTTCCCCTCTGTGTGACTGAGTTTCACAGTAGCGTGTTTTTGGCTGCGGCTCAGATATGAGACACATTAAAGCGCAAAGATCCAGAAAACAAAGACACAATAGAAGCTTTGTGTGAGTCAGCGCCAGGACGAGCCGGCAGAGCTGCTTTCTGCTTTAAAACGCTGAGACTGGAGTCTGAGCTGCAGATACAGAGAAAGTCTAAACATGTAATCAATACAGATACAATTGCAGAATCTGGGCAGCTCAAAAGATTTCAAACACCGTGTGATGTAAATCCCTGTGAAATGTGACTTGGGAAGAGAATCTAATAATGAAAAGATGAAAAGATGGAATGAAAGAATGAAAAAAAAATGCTGAAACCGGAGAAGGGAGGAGTTTGGAGTTATAAGAGAGCTAAAACATTTTGCTGAACATGCTGTTTATATCTTAAATATGACCCGGTATGTTCGTTAGGGATATCCTCTCTGTCTATGACAATTTAAAAATAGATAAATGAATGAAATGGTTCCTCTAAAGGTTTCTAGTTACTGGGGTAGGTTCCGAAAATCAAAACATACCAAGTTCCTCTAAAGGTTTCTAGTTCCTAGCAAAAGGTCCTACAGTCCTAACATACTGTTTTCATCTAATGGTTCCTAGTTCCAGGGGTAGGTTTCTACAATCAAAACAAACCAAGTTTTGAACTTCAGAAAAAGATACTACAGTCCAAACATACTGAGTTCCTCGAAAGGCTCCTAATTACTGGGGTAGGTTTATATAATCAAAACAATCCAAGCTGTTCCAAAGGTTTCCAGTTTGTAGGAAAGGTTCCTGCACTTTCTTTAAGGTTCTCTACTCCAACAGTCAGAACATATCAAGTTCATCTACAGGTAACGTGGTCCTGCAGTCAAAATACATCTTTATATTAGTTCCCACTGAGTCATAATAAAGATGGTGCTTGCTGTACTCGGAGGAAACAACTCTGAAAGAGGTTCTACAGGTGAGGTTCGTGTAAAGATGCAGCCCACCCCAAAATTGACTGCTAACTCCTAAGTAGAGGGTAGCCAGTAATCTAGTATAGGCTTATTCAGGTTTGAGGGCTTGTTGGATTAATCAGTTAAATGACAGACAAATTAATGGCAACCGTTTCAATGCCTCATTACAAACTCAAGCTTCTTAAAGGTGAATATTGGCTGGATTTCTAAAAGTGCCAGCTTCAGGAAACAATTGTTGAACTTTTAAAGCCCCAGCTAACATTTCTGCTGCCTCAAGCCAGCCTGAGATAAAACCAGAGCCTGTCCTAATTGTCTGTGGCACTATATAGTGAGCTCACATCCATAATCCTCTTACAGTAATTCACCTACTGCTGAGCTGACACCACAGAGGCAGAGCTGCGCAGGACGGACGGTCCTCACTTCCACAGATGGTTTTCCAGCTGACTTTTTGACTGTTTCTGGACATCCAGGACCAGATCCCGAGGTCAGGCAGAGATGTTAGGCGGAGATGTGGTGGCCGTGTGGGAGGTGGCGTTGAGCGACGGCGTTTATAGGATCGAGTTCGCTCATGGCACCACCACTGGAAAAAGGATTGTTTTTGTCAATGGAAAGGTGAGATCCTGCGTCTTTCTGGGAGAGCATAGTGGGGGGTTCCCAGTGTGTTTTGGCCCCTGACCAAATTTTTCCCCTAGGTTGTAAGCCAGTTTGTGCATTTTGTCACCTCATGGTGATTGATTTGAGAACTACCAGCTTAATCTAAAATCATTTTAAAGCCCATGCTGATTTTAAATGTAAAAAATAATATGTTTTAAACAAGTATTTAAAACAGTTATTTAATGAAGCTGGAAATACTACAGTTTAAAATACTTTAATATGATTTAACATTTGACTAAACTGGCTAAAGATACTGAAAGTACCAGTTATTATAGATTAACAGTTGTCAGTAGTATATACATCACCTGGTTAACTGTAACTGGACCAAACAAAGGTCAAAATCTTCTTTTAACACATAGCCATCAAACATGCAACCTGTGGGGACTGAACTGGTTCTATACATGATCCAGTCCGCCCCTCTGAACAGCTGTGAAAAGTGTGAAAATTTCAGTAAATCATTGATATCTTAGGTTTATCGATAAAATTTATTGCTATTCCAGCAGGAGGCAGGTGGGAAAATTGGTCACATCATTCACATTGTTGTGCCTCCAAAGGTGCATAAAAAGCAGCGAGATCTGAATCTTCCAAATCCTGATGTTATCGCGTCATTTGAAGAAGTGAGGCATGAGTTTAATCTACAGAGAAAGCTTTTTCAACAGCATATCAGCATAATTTAATTAGTATTTCAAATGCTTGTTAAAATAATGACTCCAAAGGATTGTTTAAGGCCTCCAGCTGATAAGCCAATCTTATCTGAATCAGTACTTTTAGTACTTTAAGCACATTTCATGCTGATGCATGTAGTACTTGTTTTTTGTGTCACTGTGGTAATAGCCTTAATACTTCAGTGAATCCATACTTCCATGATCATTTTGTCTGTATTAACCTGTCCAAAAAAAGTGAGTGTATGAAAGCAGTGCAGCAGGTGTTTATTGAAAGCAGCCATGTCTCCTTAACAGGAAGTCATCAGAAAAGACTGGATGTTCAAGCTGGTTGGAAAGGAAACCTTCATGGTGGGAGGTGCGAACACCAAAGCCACCATCAACATCGAGGCCGTGAGCGGTTTTGCATACGAGTACTCGCTGAACATCGCTGGGAAAAGTCTGCAGAAGTTCATCGACAACAGAGCCAAGACCACCAAGACCTGGCTGCTCAAAGTGGGCGAAGAGGACTACAGGGTCGTCCTCGGTGAGCTCACCCTCTCAGGTTTTTACCTGCAGCTGCAAGCTGTAGTCCGGTGTTTGCAGGAGGAAATGTAGGTGAGGACGGGCAGTCTAATCTGCTCAGGGTGAGGTCAGTGTAGCTATCTTTGGAAAGGAAGCAACCAGCATCAACCTAGTTAGACTACCAAAACGTAACGGGTGGATTAAAGAAGACCTCGAACAGAAACAGAGAACCTGATGGTAACTTAGGTCCAACAAACATGGAAATGAGATGGATTGCATTCAAAGGGAAATACGTTAAACTAAATGATACAGAAAAGTACAATAAATTATTAAACACACAAAAACTGACCAAAGAAAAATAGAAAATGAACCCCAAAATGACCAAAGGAATGATCAAAATCAACCATTTATGATTTTAAATTACTAAAATCGAACACAAATGGAAATGCATCATGAGCAGAAGGACACCAAAAAAGATGCCAGTCTGTCAGAAATGATGCAGAACAACCCAAACTAAATGTCAAATACCTAAAACAGCTGTGAAAATGAGACACAAAAGGATCAACATAGTACAGCACAAACTGACCTTGAGAAGACACAATGAAATAAAGTGCAATCCAAAATGGCTAAAATGAAACTTGTGGAAAATGACCACAAGCAGCAGAAGGTTTAAAAAAAAAAAAAAGCAAAACTATCAAAATTACACAAGAACATTTGATTAAAACAAAACTGAAATGCAAAAAGACTCAAGAGGCCCAAAATCTCCAAGATTAGATGTCAAATTACCACCAAAACACCAAAAATAGCGAAAAATTACCAAATTTAAAGGAAAATGACCAAACTGCTGAGAAACACTGCTGGGACCACAGTTTGGTGTCTCTTCTGCAGGAATCATGGGGAGCCTTTTACATATCTGTGCCAGCTGCTTCATAACCTGATCTCAGACATTGATCAGCTGTGTGTTATTTCAAAGAGGAAGACCAGCCACTGGTGTTGCTTAAACAAACTAACCATCTATGTTTGTTCTTTCTCACAGAAAAGGACACCATGGATGTTTGGTGCAACGGGCAGAAGATGGAAACCACGGTGAGCGCCACTGGTGAATACTCTGAGACACACTATCCTGAAAATAAACGTAACCTATGATGTAACTGCTGGTTTCAATAAAGGAGTGGGAAACTGTGCTGTCAGGTTTGAGGCTACAACGAAAACCAGGGAGGGAACATTAGTATACATGGCAGGGGTAACTTAGTGATCTGTGAGGGCCCCACTAATGCTGAACAATATCTACATGTGTAGGAGCAATACCTGCTGCCAGATGCATGTGTTTCAGTTGAAACAGGTGTATATTTGTGGACGCCATGATGAGTTGGTTAGCAGTGTGGCTAAAAGAAGAAGTGAACGTGTTCCTGTATCAACTTCTCAGAAACATTAAATCGAAAAAGAGCGGGTGCTTTTCAAAATAAAATGCATTTTAAAGAGATTTGTGATTCTGTAGAAGTTTATGAGAAAACAGCCCTCGCATTCCCTTTACTTATGACCCCAGCAAATACTTTCCTGAAGCTGTTTGGAGGTGATGTTATCGCTCACTCACCATCACAGCTCATTAGCCAATGAGAGCACTATTTATTTAATTTTCAAAGTAGGAGACCAAAAAAGCAATAAAGTTATTGTTTTTCTTTATGTTGTTGTGATAATCTTCTGATTTTTCAAAATAAAACTCCTAGCGCGTTTTTAAAGCTATGAATGCTGACAAAATAAAAGCCTCCATTGTTTCTCATGCCCTGTCCTCAGGGAGAGTTTGTAGACGACGGCACAGAGACGCACTTCATGGTCGGCGGGCACGAGTGCTGCATCAAGGCAGCGAGCGGCGGACAGAAGAAGAGCGGCATTGTGCACTATTTACTGCTGGATGGCGAGAGAGTGACAGCGTCCACGCAATAGAGCTCCTCTTTCAGACGCTCTTTGAGGTGCTTGAATGCAGCGGCACAGGATGGAGACCTTCTCCCGACAAACTTAGAAGCAGATCTGTTCCTGGAGATGTGAAGAATAAACTCTGGCATGCGCAGCTCGAGGTTCATGGAGGGGTACTGGTGACACTTTTATTTTGAAGGAGTGGCTCTTGTTGCGCAGCCTCCACGCATCAACTACCTTCCTCAATGCGTGAAGCACGCGGCAGCTGAGTAATAGAAAACCGGAACAAATAAGGTTCGAAGTTCAAAATAAAAGTGTAACAAAAAAAGGTTTGTCTTTATTATTATTATTATTATTATTATTATTGTCTAAAGGTAATCGGTAATATCAAACTCAGTGCACTAAAGACTAAGGAAACTTCAACTGAAGGAAATGCAAATAATAATTTTAATATCTCAGTTTGATGTCGGTGATGGGCAGAAATTTTAACCATTTTTTAATATTTCACTTTGTGTAATGAGTTTTCTTTATGAGCTATAAATTTTTTTGTAAATAAGCAAAACAAAAACAAAAAAACAATGTTTCAAATATGCCGGTTTATCTCTTTAATTTGTCCTACAGTTGAGATTTGGACTGACATAACTTTAATGTTTTGGTAATTTTTTTTCTTGTTTTCTGATAAAAGAATGAATGTGTTTGTTGGGAAAGCAGCTGTTAGACTCACAGACAATAAGAGGGGTCATAAAGCAACAGCTCTGTAATCGTTATTTTTGTTTTTTTTTTTCCTTTTGGTGAGAAACAATAAACCTTCAATAAACACATGTGACTGAGCTGAAATCCCTGTAAATGAAATGTGAATAGATTCTGCAAACTTTGTAAAAGTTTGGGAAACCCTGGTTTGTATAACATGTGATTGAACTGTTAAAGCATGTTTGAAAGCTGGGGAAGTCCTGAAGGTGTTTCAGAATCATCAAGTCTGATGTAAGGAGGACAACCACCCCAAATCAAAGATGGCAGTTGTTGCCCTCCCTCCAAAGAGCCAACCAAAGTCACCAAACTTTTGAAACAGATTTTGTGACTGTTCAAGTCAAAGTTACAGCTCCATGTGCAATGATACAAAGAGGACTACCCAAATAACTGCCTGCAGATATTCCCCAGATGTCAGCTGACTGGTAAGACTCACTTATAGAATAGCCTTTTCTACAAGAAGTAATATTAGATCCAATATGTGACTACAAAATGTCAGTTATATCTATATGGCACATTTAATTACATGTAAACTCAATGTGCTTACCATAAAAGATAAAATTGACGACTGACAATTTTAACAGAAGATTTTCTAAACTTTTTTTTTAAAATATCTGTTTGGGTGTTTTGAGAAAAATAAAATAAAATAGAAGAATGAAAAAAGCAAAAATGATAGAAATCAATATTAAAAAAAATTGAAATTATATTCCATTAAGTAAACTCTGGCTGGTGTCTCGGGGTCACTGATGAATAAGAAAAACGTAATTTTTGTCATGCTTTACAGAAAGGAGAAAAAAAAACAAAATTGAAATACAAGAAAATAATTAATTTAATGGAACAAACTAAAGTGTTTATGAGAAAAAAGTGTCATCTTCGGACTGTATTGTTATAGCTTTTTAAAAAATTAAATAATGATTATTATATTTGGTTATTATTTACAGTTTTTACAATAAAAATAATAGTCATAAACAAATGACAGATAACTTAAATTAAATTAAAATTAAATTAAAGAACAATAAGGAACAGAAATTAATGACTGAAAATCCCTCAGCTACACCTTTTTACACTAATATACGGTTTCTGCCTGTTTTATAAGAGAAAAAACAGTAAAACGTTTTTTTAAAAGTGTCGCGTTTTATTTTGAAAGCATCACCGGAACTCTGCTGCGCGGCGTGTACAGCCTGACTCTCCGGGAGGAAGCTCTCCGGCCGGGATACCGCAGCTCCAGTCTATACGGGATGGACCTCACCGCCGCACGGACAGGGGGGCACGGCTGAGTGTTTGGGCGCCGCGTGCGGGACTTACTTGAGAGATACCTGCTGTTCACACACCTGGATTAACTTTAGAGGCGCGCGAGCTCCTGTGGAGTCCAGCTGTTGGGGGTTTAATCCGGACAGGTGGACGTTATTCAGCCAAGACATAAACAACAGACGGACCGGAGCAGGCATCCTAACTACCCCCACCTAACTGTTTACCAGCCGGGTACCTGCTCTGATCTTGCCCGCTTCTGAAAACTCCTCTCACGGCCTCTGACCCCCCTCTGAGTTGGTGAATAAAGCCCACTTTCACACCTGGAAAACGGTTACTTTTTCCTTACCTCCCGCTCTCTAAAGCTTGGAAGCTAGTTAGCTTTAGCCGGCTAGCCTAGCCACCTAGCATCAAGGCCGTTTTCTTTTTTTTATCCTCCTGCTCCTCTCTGATTAATAATCCTTTTTTAAAGTTTAATCCAGCAACACCGGGGCGAGTGTCGCTTTAATCCCGCACGGACTGCGGGGGGATATGGGGAAGCGGCGCTCAGCCTGCCGCACATCTGTCACCGCAACGGAATCTGGAAGCGGGACACCCCGAGAAACGGCTGCCTTCACCGGACAGTAGGAGCAGTGTGTCTCTTCCTCTGGAAGCTGCTCTGGAAGCAGCACTTCCATGAATTTCTCCAGGCATGTAGAAGAGTTCCACCCCTCGCTGCTGGCATAAACCTTGCACCCACACTGTGATTTAAATTCCCCGCACATCTGGAGGTAAACAGCTGGAGTATGAGTGTGCTCTAAGGCTGCTGGAGGTCACAGATTTCACCTTCTTCTTCTTCTTCTGCTGCTTCAGCCATGAACTACCAGCAACACCTTGCCAACTCGGCCGCTATCCGAAATGAGATCCAGAGGTTCGAGTCCGTGCACCCCAACATCTACTCTATCTACGAGCTGCTTGAGCGGGTGGAGGAGCCGCTGCTACAGAACCAGATCCGGGAGCATGTCATCGCCATTGAAGGTAGGACAGGACCCGGGGGATGGAGGAGGAGGATGGATGGATGCTGGTAGTATGTGGGTGGGTTGGTGAAAGATGGGTGACAGCAGACTACATTTCCAGCCCGGAGATGGTCTGTTAGATGTTGCACAATCCGCCTGAATTGTTGGTGGGAAAGTTTATTTAATGTTCCCACAGTCTTTTTCTCTTCTCGGGAAATCGTGTTCAGGCTGTGAAAGCTGTCATGTTTGAGTCCCCCGTATTTCAAGGGAAAAACAAAGCAGTTATCACACCGTGAGACACTCATTAAAGAGTCCTCATGAACACAGAGTAGCACTCTTTAAAGAAGATCCTGTATGGTTCTAGAAAACCTTGTTAATAGTGACACCTGTGGGTGTGGATTGAATTGCCGGTGGCGTTTTGTTGCTAGTGTTTGGTCTTCACTAACAACAAATATAGTTTTTTTTTTTTTACTGTTGGATGTATATTGTACAACATCCAACATATTTTGTCTAGATTCTTAAGTGGAGGGGATGTGTCACCGTGGCAACCAAGAAAACTGAGGTCTAAAACCAGTCCAAACTGTTTTATTTTAAACAGCGAAAGTTTGTTTCTGCCACTAAAAATAGGGAAAATGGCCAGGGAGGTAACTCAAATTTTTGAGCTGTTATCACAAAATCCTAAGTAAGTTATCGTGGAATAAAAAAATTGGAACGTTATTATCTCAAAATTTTGGGTTTTATCTCCAAATTCAGAATGATTATTGAAACACTTTAAGTTCAGAATCAGAGAAATTTTATTAATCCCAGAGGGAAATTGAGTTGTCATAGCAGCAAATATACAACAAACATTAAGCACTCATACAAAATGAGTGTAGAAACAGATATTGATAGAAGTTGTTTTCAAATTTTGTATTTATTGTCTCAAAACCTCAGGTTTTTTATCTTTCCATTTTTGTCTGAGATATCTCAAAATCCCAAGTTACTTTCAAGTAAATTGAAATTTAGTTATTATTACAAAATGTTTTTTTCAACAAAGTTTGAGTTATCACAAAATTTTAAGTTGTAATATCAAAATTTAGAATTAAAAACTGAGCATCTCAACATTGTGAGTTATTCTCTTAAGGTTTTAAGTTAAATATCTAAAAATTAGGGGTTACTTCTAAGCTAGGATTTAGAGTTATCTCAAAATGTTGGACTTTTATCATAAAATTTCTGGGTTTAATCTTAAAGTTTTGAATTACTTATGTTGAAATTTCAAGTTACTTAAGTAAGTCAAAATTTACATACATACTTGAAAATCAAACGTTAGTGATTCCCTCGACCATGAATCCCTTCAGTGTCCAAATGTGGACATTTTCACCCTTTAAAAGTAGAAAATACTAAGAAGAAGAGGAAAATTGGGGGAGAGACTTTATGAATTTGGGGGTGGAGTTACATTAGAGTTACATTAGTTTAGAGGCTGCTAAAATGTAAATGATCAATTGAATGGAGAAAATTAAAGTGATTTGGTGGGTTTTGTACCTTAGGCTTTTGCCAGTGATTCAGTGGGTTTTGTCCCGACTGAACTAGTTATCGAAAAGACGTTATTGATAACAAAGCCTTTTGTTTACATCTTCTTTGTGTTTTTAGTGTTATTATCAGAGTCTCAACACAAACCTGACTCAGGTGATAAATAAACTTGCTAGCAGTGATCAAAGAAAGTGATAACCTTCGAGGCGTTCTCGATGGATCGGGTAGTTTGGGAACAGATTTATTCCTCGTAATTCACAACATCACCGGGATTACACTTTTACATAACGGCTTCATAACTTAATCCCTCTGTCAGATTAGCAGAAGACCCTGTGCTGAACAGCTGTTTCAGCCTCCATAAGTACAAGTGTCTCAGCATTGATTTATTGATTGATATTGATGGGGAAGCAGCAACGATCTGACATGATCCTTTCTCCTTTAAACACAAGAGGCAGTGAGAGCCAGATGGCTGCTGTTTGGTGGTTAATCCAGTGAATTAACCACACATTGGTGCAGAAATCCTGTAAATCCAGCTCAAACATAAGCAGATATTACATTGAAACAGAAACGATCTGATCAGAGAGAAGCAGCTGGAATTCAGAGATGTTACAGCTGGAAGTGAAACTCTTTCAGACCTGAGAAGTGGAGTTTCTGCTTGCTCCTTTGGGCCACATGATGAAGGAAATGATGCTGAGGATGACGATATGAAGCTACTGTCATTTCAATGAAAACAAACTGATGAAATGTGAAAGTAAGAATAACGATGGAATCTGCTATTGCAAATAAGATGATACGATCTGACACACTAAATAAAATAACAACAAAAACAAATTGCAACACTAGTAGCAATGGATGATCTGATATCCTCGTGTTGGTGTTGTTCCCTCGTCATCATAAATAATGTTGTTCCAGGTTCAACATTGCAAGTGACCAATCACATTGTTGTGACGTCCCCCTTTTGTGCCTTTGAAAAATACCGTCTTAAAAAAATCTACTTCACTTGCGAGAAGAGAAACCGCTTCTGTCCGCCCATCCAGGAACTTCAGTTCTTTGCATTTCAGGATACTTTTCTTTAATAAACGGTAAGCATTATACATATCGTCCTTGCAGAGGCGGTTTCTCTTCTCGCAAGTGAAGTAGATTTTTTGAAGGGCGTTTGTTTTTTTTCGAGGTCGCGGATGACGTCAAGAGAAGGTGATTGAGAAGGTCACTTGCAATGTTGAACCTGGAACATTATTTATGATGACGAGGGAACAACACCAACACAATCTGTAATGACATACATTAAGCAGAAAGCAACTAATGATGTTAAAAAAAAAGGTAAATAATTG